ACGAAACCCTCTCACCAGTTGCAAAGATAAAGTCTATCAGGGTAATGTTGGCCGTCGCTACATTTCATGACTATGAAATATGGCAGATGGATGTCAAAACCGCTTTCCTTAATGGGAAGTTGGCTGAGAATGTTTACATGGCTCAGCCAGAGGGTTTTGTCAATGCGAAGCATCCCAATAGAGTGTGTAAGCTTGAGAAGTCCATTTATGAACTTAAGCAAGCATCTCGCAGATGGAATCTTTGTTTCGACGAGAAGGTAAAAGAGTTTGTTCTTTTGCAAAGTGCAGATGAATCATGTGTATATGTCAAAGCCATTGGGAGTGTAGTAAGATTTTTCCTATTGTATGTCGACGATATACTACTCATAGGAAACGACATCCCGACACTGCAGGAGGTTAAGTCCTGTCTCGGGAAGTGCTTCACTATGAAGGACCTCGGAGAGGCTTCCTATATTTTGGGAATAAGGATAGTGAGAGACAGAAGTAAGAGACTAATAGGACTTAGTTACAACACTTACCTGGAAAAGGTAATAAAACGTTTTAGTATGGAGAATTCAAAGAAAAGGGAGTTACCAATCCAGAGTAATGCCAAGTTGAGTAAGATTCAGAGTCCGAGTATTGAAGTCAAGATAGCAGAGATGAGCCAAGTACCTTACACTTCCGCAATTGTCTCAATCATGTATGCTATGACTTGTACTCGCTCTGATGTGGCCTTTGCTTTTAGCATGGTCAGCAGATATCAAGGGAACCCTGACAGAGTGCATTGGATCGCAATCAAGAATATTCTTAAGTACCTTCGGAGGACCAAGGAATGGTTTCTAATCCTCGGTGGGAGTGATAACTTAAAGGTGCGAGGGTACAGTGACGCCAGTTTTCAAACCGACAGGGACAATTACCCTTCACAGTCGGGCTGGGTCTTTACCCTTAATAGAGGAGCAGTGACTTGGAAAAGTTCCAAACAGGAAACTGTAGCTGATTCAACGTGCGAATCAGAGTATATTGCGGTGATCGAAGTGTCAAATGAGGCGATATGGTTGAATAACTTCATTGGAGACCTTGGAGTTGTGCCATCCATAAAGGAGCCTATGGAGATTTTCTGTGATAATGAAGGAGCGGTTGCCTTAACCAAGGAACCAAGAGATCACGGTAGATCTCGGCATATCGACAAAAAATATCACTTTATTCTACAGTGGGTGGAAGAAGGACTCCTCATAGTAAAGAGGGTATCGTCAGAGGATAACCCAGCAGATCCGATTACGAAGGTACTGAGCAGGGTTAAGCACTTGCAGCACGCTAGGAGCATTGGGCTGAAGGAATATATTAGTTTAGATTAAATAGTTTGGAAACGTGTAATAGATAAGTTGTTATTAACATTTGATGATTAAATAAAGGAGTATTATATATTAGTAATGTTACTGTATTATGTTAATCTTTTACCTATTGTTTCAATTTTGCATGTTTTGACTTCCTGAATAATTGAGTTATTTGATAATAATCGAATTATTCGAACGGTCCACAATTGTTCATATGTTGGAAGTAGATATGAATGAAGACTGTCATGAATTGGTGTGTAGATTATCTAAAGTGTATTAGACATAGAAAAAGTTTGCTACAACGTTCATGAGTGCTTATGAACTTGATTTGAGCATTGGAATAAACCCACACTTGATGGAATCACTTCATGGAATTTATCACGAGTGATCGTAAGATGGTAATATCATATGGTCTTAAAACCTAGATGTATGGTTTAATGTTTTCTAATTGGTTGTGCATTGATAATGCGTAAACGCATTAGTGACTTGCTGTTATAAAACGCATTGTTGTGTCTGATTTGATTAGTGGATAGTAAATGCATATAAGTCAAAGTTTATCTGTTCCTTTTATCCTAAGAGGGTAAAAGCGATGTCAGGGCCCCTCGATGATTTGATTTGACTTATGTGTCGGGCCCGGTCAGGACTGAATTGATGTGTTCAAATAAGTTCTATGTCAAATGAATCTGAGATTGAGAAACCAATTGTTGGACAATAAGTATGACAATGTTCCATGTAATTGTCCGCACAATATCTAGAATAGAGGATTATACGATCCCTTATCTGAAGGACAGGTTACTGATAAGATCAAAGTTTGACAGCGTCTTTCAGATCTATGATTGCTAATCGGATTGTGCTTGCATAGTTACTAGACTTATCCAAGTGGGAGACTTTTGGATTAGTGTCTAAGCTCGTAACTATATTTCGTAATTACTTGACCCCGTTGTGCATGGTCCTTTTGGGTTGCCTTCACCATAACAACTTGATAGGGTGATTTATGAAGAGAGAAGAGATATTATTATATTAATATATTATAAGAATAATATATTAAAGGAATAATAATATTATTTGATTAATATTGGTCATAAATTAATTAGGAATTAATTTGGTGACTAAAAGATGTTAATTGAATAAAGGGGCTTAAATTGTTAAATGTGTGATAGTTGTGTTTTTGGGCTATGAATCCTTATAGATCTTAGGGTGGATGAATTTAGGGTTATGAACTCCTTAAATTTGTCCAAGCCTCAATCTAGAAGGATCCTTGGATTGCTTAGAGCCTAATTATTCAATTAGGGTTGATGATGTAACCCTAGTAGCTCATAGTATAAAAGGACCCCATGGGTTGGGGAAATCGGCTACCTTGCTTCCTTGGGAACCCTAAAGCCGATTTCTACACCTCTCTTCTCTCTCCAAATCAACCTCTTGCTAGTTGGTGTTTGTAAGCCATTAGAGGAGTGATAATTGTGACTCTAAGCTCCAAGAACAAGAAGATTCAAGCAAGCAATCAAAAGGTATTCATCTAGATCTTATTTCATATGTTATGTTTCAATTGTACTCACTAGATCTAGCATTGAAAGTCTTGGATACATTGCATGTTCAATTAGAGAAACCTAGATCCAAGCATTAGGGTTTGCATGTGCACATAGGAAAGTTCTTATGGCTCAAATCCATCAAAAACATGAAACACCAATAATTAAAATACTACGTAATCAACATATTGTAATATACAATTAGGGTTTTAAAGCATTTTCAACAATATTTAATGTGAGATATAAAAGATATAACAAACATATTAAGCAAGCTGTTAAAATGTGTTCTTGAAAAAATATACATGTCAAAATAAGTAAAGCTAGATTGCTTTATCAACATTTTTGGTAGATCTTTTACTATCATCTAATAAAATTGTACTAAATACAATTATAAAAAAGAAGGATACATTTTTGGTAGATTTTTTACTATCATCTAAAAAAAATTATACTAAACTCTGGTCACTTTTGTGTGTTTTTGTATGTATGTATGTGGGGGCTTATTGTGTTCTTGTCTAACGCCATACAAGTTATGATTACATTAGAGATTATAAATGATTTTTAATGGACATGATTTGTTTAATGGTTATATAATGGGAAAATTACTAATCTAGCCATAATTGTTAATGACTTATCAAAAAATAGCCAAAAAATAAGTATTAGCCAAAATACTCCACTAAATAGTAGCAACATATAGTTGACTGCGGTCAACATGTGTTGACTACTCTTTTTCTTGAAAATCTACTATTCCGTGGTAATGGACTACTGTTTTCACGGTATGTTTACTTTTTCGTGGCCCATTAGCCCAAAGTATATAATGGTTAATTTTTCAGATTAGGTCATTTTTCACTATTGTTTTTTTGTTTGCCTATTGTTTTCTCTCAATTGAGCACCCGAAGAACAACCAGGTTTGTCTACTGTTCATCAAAATTTTATCGTGTTCGTGATTAGGTGTATGTTTTGTATATGGCGGTAAGTTTTTATTTGATAAAAATCGAAAAAAAGAAAAAAATGTAGGTTTCATACGAAACCTACGGTGTACAAGTGTCCAATGCACAATTTGTGCAGTGCTGACTTGTACACCTACGGTTTCGTCGAACCGGAAGTATTTTTTTTCGTTTTATTATTTTTTTTTAAATTTGATCCAAAATGATCAAAATTTGATATATAGTATAATTTCATGATTTTTTTAAACAAAAAAAAAGTGAAAATGTAGGTTATTTTGAAACCTACGGTGTACAAACATTTAATGCATAGTTTGTGCAGTAAAAGCTTATACACCATAGGTTTCCAAAAAACCCACGATTTTATTTTTTTTTCCCGTTTTTTTAAATTTATAACCAATAAATAAACATTGTATATTTTGTTGATGCAGTGATTTTTTTTTTTGAAAAAAAAGGAACCGTAGGTGTGTATATAAAATTGTAGGTTTCTTAAAACCTACGGTTATATATATATATATATATATTATATATATATATATATATATATATATATATATATATATATATATATATATATATATATATATATTTCATTTTTGTTCGAAAAAAAAAATTCTTTTTACGGAATTTTAACGATTATATATATATATATATATATATATATATATATATATATATATTAATTATGATTCCATGTTTGCATTTTGTGAAAAAGTATGTTATTTTCTATATCTCGATTATAGTATACAATAGCAATGTACTATCTATTTGAAGAAGTTTCTATGTTTATAATGAGTAGATACTTTGAAGTATATTGTATTGACAAAATAACATTTTGTTTTGGTAGTTTCGGGTTTGTTATAAAATATGTTATTGTCACACCATTTTCAAAGTACAATGCTATATTTGGTATACAATTAATATAGAAAATACAAAACAATGTTGTTAATTAATTTCCTTTGGTATTTTATACAAAGTAAATAGAATATATGAAATGATTAAGTCTTATATTGTGTGCTTTCTCTAATTGTTTATCAATTTTTTTTCTTTTATAAAACTTTATTTAACCTTAATGTTTATTTAATTTTGTAGCTTCCAAACAAAACGATGATGGGTCACTTATCTGTCAAAGCTTCATGCCATAAATTGCATGAAGTTTTGAGTGGCTTGAACGGACCCGTGCACAATATTTTTTCAACAACTAGCTTCGGTTACTGCATATGTTGTGTCCTACTGCTGAAACGGACACAACTGTGCGTCTATATTTTAGGTTTTCTAGACGTACACTGTCATTTGGGCCCGAGGAGTTTTGTCTTGTGACCGGACTTTACATGGGCCGGTGTCCTACATTAAGGATCGACTTTTCAACCATGTATAAACATGGATATGGTGAAAATATATTTCGGTCCAGAGTATTCCCATATCGCACAGACACTTCTTTACTTGTAGAAGATTTAGAGCTCCTTATCTTGAATCAACAATTCAATGATATATTAGCTCACAACGGTGTCCGTGCCATTTTGCTATATATCCTCAATCAAGGTTTTTTGGGAAAGGAGCTCAATGATAAAGTCACCAAGGAATTTTTGTGGGTGGTGGAGAACCTGGATCAATGGAATAAGTATTTGTTAATTTAATATTTATAATAAAATAAAATACGTTTAACTAATACTTTTTTTTATAATATAGGTTCTCGTAGGGGAGCTATCTATGACCTTAAACATACCCTAGATTGTCGGGTATGTTTAAGAAATTTGAGGATCATATGTCCAACCATTCAACAAAAGTGATTGTGTACACACTATCGGGTTTTGTTATTCATTTGAAGGTATATTTAAGTAATTAAAAAAAATATTTATAAAATTTTCGGTTTTTATTTTTTTGATAATTTTAATTAGTGCTAACACTTATAAATTAATGTATATTTATTACAAGTAGGGCTGTAAAAGAATTGAACGTTCGGTGAACCGTTCGTGAACTGTTCGGCGGCCAGTTCGTTTATGTTCGTTTATTTAATAAATGAACGAACATGAACAAAAATTATCGTTCGTTTAGTTAAATGAACGAACATGAACAATGGTCACGTTCGTTCATTTATGTTCGTGAACGTTCGTTTATGATGTTCATTTACGTTCGTTTATGTTCATTCGTTTAAGTTTATTTATATTCATCTATATTCAATTATTTTTTATTATATTGCTATATTATATGTTCGTTTATGTTCATATTGTTGGAATAGTGTCTAAGGCTGCAACTATATTAGGCAAGTATTTGATCCGGTTGTGCATGGTGCTTTTGGGTTGCCTTCACCAGAGCAACTTGATGGATGATTTGTTAAGAGAGAGTAAATATTATAAGGAATAATATTTGGTTATTTGATTAATATAAGTCATAGATTAATTGGAATTAATTTGATGACTTAAAGAGATTAATTAAATAAGAGGGTATAAACTGTCAATTGTTTGATAGTTACACTTTAGACTATAAATCCTTATCCAAGATAGGTTGGACGATTTCTAGGGCTTGGATAAGCCAAAATCGTCCATAGGGTTATCAAGGAAAGGATATGGATCAACTTAAAGTCTAAGTTATCCAATTAGGGTTAAAGCTGTAAATCTTAAGGAGTCTACAAGTATAAATAGACCCTAGGGGTGAGGGAATTCGACACACCATCTAAAGTAGAGATACTCTGGCCGAATTCCTCCCCTCTCCTCTCTCCTAAATCATCTTGCTTGCTATTGGTGTTTGTAAGCCATTAGAGGAGTGACATTTGTGACTCTAGAAGCTCCAAGACAACAAGATCAACAAGGAACTCAAAGGTATGATTCTAGATCTGTTTCAATGTTGTTATTTAACCTAATTAGCCATTAGAAGTCTTGGATTCAAAGCATGTTTAATTAGAAAGCCTAGATCCAAGCATTAGGGTTTTGCATGCGCACATAGGAAAGTTCTTATGGCTAAAACCCATCAGTGGTATCAGAGCCTAGCTTGGTTTTCTTTAAATTGTTGCTTGATTAACTGAAACAAACCTGCAAAATTCGATTTTGGGTTTATGAGTCATGGACTCGGCGAGTTCCAAAGTGGACTCGGCGAGTCCGGGCGTCAGGATTAGTCAAAACCGGGATTTTTTCATGTTTATCTTATGGAAACTTACCTTAATCATATTAGATCAACCCTAATCCGTTTTTTGATATATATGACTATAATCTTGATCTAATTAAAGATATTTATCATCTAATAAAATATTTAATTTCCTTATGTGATAAATGATTAATTATTTTGATAATTATCTTAAAAGAAATCTTGGATAAATCAAATAAAGATAATTAGGATATTAATTGTTAATTGGAATTATTTGTTATTTGATCCTTCATGTTTTAAATGTTTAAAACCTACCCTAAAGTTTTGAAATTTATATTTGTGATTAAAAGTTTTAATTTAGACAACTTAAATTTCAAACCCTAGATTTTGAAAAGTTTTAAAATACAACCCTATACTAATATGATATTACTAGAATAATATATATATGTATAACTAAATGCTAGTCTTACCGTTAGTAGGCCTCATTCACGAAGCCGATCTATAAGGTGGGTATAAGGTTGCGGCCTATAAAATGGCGCTTAATGGGTGTACACTCACACCCACCGCTTGCTTGATTGGTGGAGGGTCGTTAGCCGAACGGGTAGGATAGGGCAACCTCATCTTCTCATTAAAAGTATAATAAGAAATACAAAGTAACTACACGTTTTAAAAATTTCCCAATCTTAGTTACTTTAGGAAAAGTGAATTGATGCAATCCCATGAAATTACACTTTGCACCTTGCTAAGAAGTTAGTGGAGCGTGTGTGGTTTACCGGCACACTAATTGGTTCTAAGCGAAGGTGGCAAAGGGTGATTCATTGTTTATCATAGTTCGATGGAGCGTGTGTGGTTTACCGGCACATCGAATAGGTGATCGTTACAATGAAGGCACCATGTGAATTTGCATGGTAATTCACACCCGCTTTGTGATCCTCGGCATCCCAGTCACAAACGAGAGGGGCATATCGAGATTTAAACATGCCATTGAATAGTTTCAATGAATCTCATCCGAACCTAGGAATTCTCAAAAACACTTAGGACTAATAGTTTAAGTTTTGTAATGGAGAATTAGTGAATCGTCATTCACTTACCTTCAATTTATTTGCATGTTAGATTACGGCATCCCTTTTCTAGTATGTAAATGTTATTGTTGGATCCTAGCCCTAATTTTCTTATTGGGTGATAATTAGGGATTATTATTCTAATCTATCTTTGTCCTTTTCTAATTGAAGATGTCGAACGCAAACAACGCTGCTGCTAGTTCTTTCACGTTGATGAGCCTTTGCCAAAAGGTCACCTTCGATGGAACGAACTTTAGCGAATGGATAAGATACATTCGCACCATTGCTCGCTATGAGGATAAAGAGTATGTCCTCGATGAGAAGCTCGAGAAAATCAACCCCGAAGTTGCTACTCCCGAAGAAATCACCGCCTTTGAAACTCATGAGCGAGATGCAACGAAGGTACATTGCATCATGATCGCCACCATGAACTCCGAATTCCAAAAGTCCTACGAGGACATGTATCCATACGAGATGCATCAAGACTTGTTGGAGAGATACCACCAAAACGCGAGACAAGAGCGTTATGAGATTTTCACTAACATGATCTCCGCTAAGATGGGTCATGGAGAATCTCTTACCGTGCACCTGCAAAAGATGCAAAGGTATGTCGACCGCCTTCGCAAGTTAAATGTTGACTTCGGTGAAGACTTGGCGATCGATATGGTGCTTCACTCTTTGCCTCCGATGTACAACCAATTTAGGATGACCTACCACATGAACAAAGAAGAGGTCACCCTAAGCAAACTCCAAGGTCTCTTGAGGGTCGCTGAGAGCAACTTCAAGGACAAGTCTGTTGCACCTACTCCCAATCCGTCCGCTGCTCCTGTCTTGGCTATTGGTCAAGGGAAGGGAAAGAAGAGGAAAGCTTCATCGAATAACTATCGCAAGGTGAAAGCCCGAGATGGTGCCTCTTCTAGTGGGACCAAAGTTGATCCCGCTAAGCCCTGCTCCAACCCAAAGGAGGCAGAGTGCCACCACTGCCACAAGATAGGACATTGGAAGAGAAGCTGCCCGGATTACCTGCAAGCGATCAAAGAAGGAAAGATCAAGCCATCTTTCGCAGGTATATACACAATCAAATCTAACGATTCTAATCATGCTATTTCTTGGGTTCTTGATACCGGTTGTGGTTATCACATTTGTTCTAATGTGCAGGGACTAAGAAGAAGTAGGGATGTAGAGCAAGGAAGGATCAATCTAATCATGGGGAACAGAAGATCGTCGCCTGTGACCAAGATTGGAGTGTATTCTTTAGTGCTTAGGAATAGTTTGGTTTTAGATTTGAACAATTGTTGCTATTCGCCAGAAATGGCTAGAAACATCATTTCATTTCATGGTTTATATAGACAAGGATTTAGATTTTCTTTTAATAATGAGAATGGTTCTATTTTGGCTTATCTAAATGGTGTCTTTTACTTTGAAGCTATACCATGTAATGGAATATATGAAACTGTTATGATTGTTGATAACTTAGGAAATGATGTTTTGAATATTGATTCTTCCACTAGTATGGATAAAGCATCCTTGTGGCATTGTCGTCTTGGACATGTCAACAAGAAACGCATAGCACAACTCCAAAAGGATGGAGTGTTGGAGTCATTCGACCTTAGGGAAGATGACACATGCGAGTCTTGTTTACTTGGAAAGATGACTAAGTCACCCTTCACGAGTACTTGTGAAAGGGGTGAGGGGCTATTGGACCTAATACATACCGATGTATGTGGACCCTTTAGATCAACCACGAAGGATGGGAACCGCTTCTATGTGACTTTTACCGATGACTATAGTAGATATGGGTATATCTACTTAATCAAGCAAAAGTCAGACACCTTTGAAAAGTTCAAAGAGTTCAAGAATGAAGTGGAGAATCAATTGGGCAGGAAAATCAAGATGCTTCGATCCGATCGAGGAGGAGAGTACCTAAGTCTTGAATTCCACGATTATCTCAAGGAGTGTGGAATAGTTTCGCAATTGACGCCTCCTAGGACACCGCAGTTGAATGGTGTGGCAGAAAGGCGTAATCGAACCTTATTGGATATGGTTCGCTCTATGATGAGTCGTGCTTCACTACCTATCTTCTTTTGGGGGTATGCCTTAGAGACTGCCGCCCATATCCTTAACCGAGTCCCTACTAAGAAGGTTGCCAAAACACCTCACGAGATGTGGACAGGGAAAGCTCCCTCGTTGGCACATATCAAGGTTTGGGGTTGCGAGGCTTTCGTAAGACGAGATACTCACGACAAGCTTGAACCTCGAAGTGAGCGATGTATTTTCATCGGCTACCCGCAAACATCCTTTGGATATCTCTTCTATAGACCGAAAGACAATGTTGTCTTTGTTGCGAGGAGAGGAGTTTTCCGAGAGCGAGAACTCATAAGCCAAGGAGACAGTGGGAGGCAAATCGAACTTGAAGAGATTCAAGAGTCGATAGATGAAGGAACCTCTACCGCTGGCATTCAACCCGAGGAGGAAACTCCGGTTGAACCGATTGA